CCGGGGCAAACGATGGGGGGGGCGATGGGGGGCGATGAGGCAATGGGTGTGTAGAAGGGGATGAGGTGGAGGTGGGAAGGAGGAATGGGGGAATGGGGAAATGAATGGGGGGGGGGGGGTTGTGGGATGCGCACAGGGATGTGGTTGGTTGGTGGCGGGTTGGTTGGTTGGTTGGTTGGTGGGTTTTGCGGAGGGAGTTGATGCGGTGTTGGTGATGCGGTTGGTCGGTCAGACAGCACAACTGCTCTTCTGGTCTGGGGGACTGGCTGGGTACGACCTCGCGTGGCTGGTGGCGGTGGGACAATGGAAGCGAGCTCTGAAGGGACCAGATTGGAGGAAGATGAGCTGGAGGAGGTGTTTCACGATGCCATTGCACGGTGTGCTGCCTTTGCCATCCCGCCGACTGAGATCGAGAAGCTCGAGCTGTACGGTCTGCTGCAGCAGGCCTTCTTCGGCGACGCTCTGCTCGCCGACAAGCCGCACTCGCTCTCGACCGAGTTTGGGCCCAAGGCCAAGTTCCAGGCGCACTACGCCAACCGAGGCAAGACGCCCGAGGTTGCCATGACTGAGTATGTGCTGTATGTCGAGCGGTTGGCCAAGCACTGCGAGAAGAAGGCCGGCAACGACATCGCCTCCCGCAGAGCCTCGCTCTCGCACAGGTCCTCGCCCAGGCGCAAGACCTCGCTCTCGCGCCTCAACTCGCAGCACTCATCTGGCCGGCGCTCGTCCAAGGGCTCGCTCCGCTCCTCGCTCCGCCGCATGCACGTTCTGCACGGCTCCATGAACATGGACAACGATAGCCTCGCCCAGATCATCAAGCCGATTTCGTCGTCGACCTCACTCGGCAAGTCGACGTCCAAGAACTTGTCGAGCACCACCTTGGGCTCGCTCAACGGTCATGTCGCGGCTAGCAGTGGTAGACAAAGCTATCGCACGCTGCAGAAGGAAGAAACCGGTGGCGAGGATGGCTTGGGCGAGCCGGTTCTCCGGCCGTCGCCGCTCTCTGACCCGCAGATCTGGAAGGGCTGAGAGCCCTGTGTAGGTGGTGGCCGACTGACGGAGCGTTTGCACTGGCTTGGCTACAACTTGGCGCTCGACCGGGACCGGCTAAGACTGCTGCCGACACGGAACTCGTCGATCGAGTACTTGACCATCGAAAAGAGTGAGAAGAAGAACTCCATGTTGGTGTTGAGCAGACAGAACGAGCCTGCAAGCCGGCGACGCGCCTCACGGTCGTGCCGGACCCACTCCTGGAACTGCGTGCAGTTGGCGATGGAGACAAGGTCCGACTTGGAGACCAAGGCGTCCGAGGCCTCGAAGAGCTGAAAGAGCGTGCAGAGGTCATTGATGAACGGAAGCACGTCTAGCGACTGCGCCTTGGACACGTCGGGCGCAAAGGTAAACTGCGCGTGCTCGACAAATCCGTTCGGATGTGACGATTGTAGCAGGCCCGACGCCACCAGCTGCGAACCGAGGGCGCTCACGTCGTCGGCGTTGGCGTGCGGCGGAAGGTAGGAGACAAGCCAATCGTGCGCATCTTCGTAGCTCACATCCGCTGTGGCCAGCGTGCACTCCATGGCCGCCACAATCTGATGATCCGAGTCCTGCAGCCCGGCGAGCGCCGCCGTCAGGTTGGTCTTCAGGCGCTCCGCTAGAGAGTCGGAGAGCTCGTTAGCGGCGTCGGAGGCCGCAGCGTCGCGCAGCTCCTGCACAATGGCTGTCATGTCGGCGAGGATGGCGTCGCGGCCGCGCACAAAGTGATAAAACAAATTGCGACAGTCGCGCTCATTGATGTGGCCTGAGCCGGTCGAGGCAGCCTTGGCCGGCGCGGTCTTGGAGATGTTGAGGAGGAAGGTGCGGACTGAATGGGTCTTGAGTTGGGCAAAGGCGGCGTTAGCGGCTGCCGACGCTGACGGCGCCACCATGTCCTGCGACTTGGCGCCCGAAATAATGCGATTGGCCAGCGACTGCAGGATCTTGGCCACCTTGACAAGCATGACCCGCAGCGGGCCGGGCACTGCATCTGGGAGCAGGCCGTACTCATGCGGCGAGACAATGGCTGGGCAGACAAAGCGGAGGAAGAAAAACCCGACCACAGGCGTGAGCTCGGCAGATGGGAACTTGCCCACCACAATCCGTCGCATCTGGTAGCAGAGGTCCATAAACTTGATTGGTGTGGCATCGACTTGCGCCACGATCCAGTCGACCACGTAGCACGCGGCCTGGAAGACGAGATCGTCCTCAAAGGCGGCAGCAGCCGATGCCGCCGCAGCAGGACCGGCTCCGAGCTTGGACATACCGTCGGGGTTTGGCTCGGCACTCGCACCTGCGTTCGTGCTCCCGCTTTCGCTGCTGGCGGCCTCGTCCTCGAGCAGCTCCTGAACGACGACTGCAAACTTGGACTTGATGCCAACCCGGATGAGAAAGCCGTCGGCTACAGGCAGGTCTTCGCCCGAGTTGACGACGACAACCTCCTTCTTGCCGCGCGCGTCGGGCCCGGTCACCGGTGTGTTGGTGCGCACAAAGATCTGGTTGGTTGATGAGAGGTTGCGGAGGACAAAGCAGTCGCGTTGGCGGTCATACTCGAGAGCAGCATGCTCCTTGGAGACCGAGTCGTCACCGAGCTCTTTGAGCTGGCCAGTGCCCGGGATGACGATAGTGTTGCCGCGCTGTTTGGAACGCCCAATCTTGACGGGCGCGTCAGTGGTGAGTGGGTAGACGCCGCCCTTGAGCGGGCCCTCGCGGACGTGCAGCGAGTACTTGCGCCCGTTGGCCACGTTTGTGGTGAGCAGCGGCGAGGTGGCAGCCGAAGCCGGCGGCGGTGCAACTAGTGCCACCGACGCCCGCTTCGACTTGGCTGGCGACTGGACGCCAAGCGCAGGTGGCGCGGTCTTCTTGGGCGGTGGCGGGGCGAGCGGCATGCCGCCGGGCGTGATCGCCTCGGCCGACGCCGCGCGGGCCTCGTGTGGAAAGACCAGGTCGGCCGACGACTTGGCCTCAAAGGCCGCGAGCAGGTTGACGATGAGCGGCGCCACGACCGTGGCCAGGTACGGCTTCCCAATTTCCTTCGAGTACGCCTTCATCAGCTTGGTCGACGCCGAGTTGGTGCGGAAGAGCGTCGACGCCGTGGTCGTCGCGCCCACTTCGGTCTCGACAAGCTTTGTCAGCAGCGCAAGCGTCGAGCCACGGTCCTCAAACACGCGGACCACCAGCTCGGGCACGGCCTCCTGAGTCTCGTGCGGCATGGTGCGGAGGAGGGCCGAGACCGCCAGGTACGATGAGTGCAGCACAACCTTGAGCAACGGCTTGTACCGTCGCAGGCGCTTGGTCATCAGCACCGATGGAAACCGCAGTGCCATCTTGCCGACCACCTCCTCGGCCGACGCCGCCTCCTCGCCGGCCGCCAAGCCAGCGCCCGACACCGACCGGGCCAACAGAGCGCCACCAGCCTCATCGGCCGCCTCTTCCGCCGTCACAAACGGCCGCGACAGCCGCGAACGCGAGAGACCCTTGCCACGACTGCTGCTGCTGTTGTTGTTGCTCCCGCTCCCGCCGTCCCGCTCGGCAGCCAATGCTGCCAGCGCCTCGGCAAACGCTTGCTCGGCCTCTGCTACCGCATCCGCACACTCGGGCCTGCTGCGGAGCTCGTCACGCAGCGCGCAGACCTCGGTCCACCGCCCTGCCATGACTTCTACCGACAATGTTGTGTGTGTGTGTAGGAAGGAGGTAGGGGTGGGTGGGTGGGGGGGTGGGGGGG